GTATCACTATCAGAAGCAGTGGCGCTAGCAGTACCAGGTAAAACCATATTGGGTTTCTTGCTAAAAGAAGACCCCGCCGGGGAATCAGCAGGCCTCTTGGACGACGATGTAGGTGTCTCCATATTATTACCGCTAGTTGAAAAATTATTATCGAAGTTATCGACGTGCTGGTGATCAGTACGCAATGGTCGGCTCGAGTCAGTGTTATTTGTTGATTTTGTTGTGGCGGTATCAGCTGGTTCTGCATTACCCTCGGACTCTGCTCCTTGTGCGTCGTTGTCCTTTTGTTCTACAAATAAACGTCGTCACAGAGTTAGATTATATTATACACATTTACTGAAATTGTAATGCATGCTTACCTTGTTGTTCACGACCGCACTGTGGATATATTATTGCGCTATTACTGCCAGTAATCGCTTCGTGTGTACGTTCTGCTATGTTTTTGAGTCCAAGGCCAACAATTGTGGCAATGTTACCATAATATTTATCGGTAGTATTCATTGCTGCCAACATTGATTTTTTATCTGCCTCCCATACTTGATCTTTTGTCGGGTTGGTCATATTGTTATAATCCACATCGTGTTGAAACGTGACCTTGTCCATTACAGTTTTTGGTAACGAACATCCAATAAACTTATTATTCGCATCATATAACTTATTACCCGGTCCTGTATACGAACTGCCAAACCACGTGATACCACCATTATCACACGCCCATGGATTAAACGGTAAGTTGTTATTCAAAAATAATTCATTTCATTACTTTCGGTTTATTTTTAAAACCATATTAGACATAATTATAACTTTTGTGATCTTAAAAGTAAACTTTTGAGGTTACATAGTTGGATATTTTTATATGATGATAATGCAATAGATATTTATTATGTGAAGTATATTTAGTAGTTTTATTTTAGTAATTTTTTAACACCATAACATATGGTTGCGGGTTGGTAAAATGAGTAATAACATACTATAATGACCAACAATGCATGTCTAACCTATGTTTATGATGTGAATTTGTTTATGATTTGAATTTGTTCAAACCATATCTGTAAAAAGCTATTAATCAGTCAATTTTATAATTAAAGTCCAACTATTGAATATGTTGATTTTAGTTTTATATAAGTAGTTATTATTAATAATATAAAAATTATTATTATACGATTTGTAGAGACAACCCGTACGTATTTTTATTTCCTATCTTATATTATTTTATTAAAATGTATTCTATTATTCTGTGTGAGATTTCGAGATTATTTTTTAATTTTAATGATCTTGTACATTATAGCTTCAATGTACAATTAAAGTTAAAAATAGACATTGAAGATCCGAAACAATACAGTATACGTACCCTCGATTTATGTAGGAAACTTGTTTTTAAAAAAGCAAAATTCACAATGAAATTATTCATCGCTGTTATTTATAACGTTTCCATATTACAAGTGAAAAAAAGTTGAATTCACAAACTAATAATTAAATATCTTTCAAATAAAAAGCACACACATATTTAATGGTATTTTTAAATATTCACTCTTAAATATGCAAATAGTCAATATTTTTATATCCATACATCAGAATTCATAATTATTTTCATTTCTGAGCAGTGGAGAAAATTTAATACATTGAATACAAGTTACAATTATATATTTCATATTGTATAGAATGTTGCATTATTAATAACTTTGGAATATTATGTATTTTTGTGCAGTTGAATTAGGTAAGTATAATTTATGTTAGTTGCCGAATTTTTACTGACCATTTTTCTCGAATGACCAGATAACAAATCGAAAATCAATGTGTAGGTAATTATCTCTATTCGGCTTCTAAAGTACGCTAGATCCTTATCTAGGTATTTAAGTAAAAGTATTCAAATAATTTTGAAGTTCCAAATTCGTATTTTAAATTCTTATTGAAAAGTATATTAAAAAGCAATTTAAATACTTTAGCTCGAAGTATCTCTAATTTAAATCTATTAATTAAGTTCAAATCTTTTTTCGTTTAGTTTTTACTTTTTTCACTTAAGTTTTCATTTTATTTACGTACAAAAATAAAATAAATTATTTCTTATTTTTTTTTAAATTTGTTCTTGCAAATAGATACAACCAAAAATACTAAAAGTTCGACAAAAACATTAGATGTGTATACTTTGATAGTTACTCCAAATGATAGTTGTAAAATATTCCATAAAATTGACGTAACACATGAAAATCAGTTTTGTTTAGATACTAGGTAATAAAATGTATTTATAAAATAAATTAAAGTAGGTATTTGAATGTCTCTGTAATTACTTTTTTTACTGAGCATTTATCAAATATGTATTTTAATTTTTAAAATCTTAAAAATAAATATCAGTGTCTATCTGTACTTAAATTCTTTTAAAAAGTATCTTTTATAAGGTTTCCTACTTCCTAAATCCAGTTTCAAAGTGATGTATGTGAACTGTAAACTTTTCTTGAATAGTTGAATATGTTGATTAACTGAATTCGAACTTTACCTAATCTACAGTGATGCCATTAGATTATATCTATTCAATTCATCTTCAGATACATTTCATAACGATGTCTTCATTTATCTGTCAGTCAACAATATTGTGAACTTTAAAATATAAAATTTAATATATGGAAAAAGAAAAGAGTCGTTCAATCTTTTTTCATTTAATAGTTGTACCTAATATTTCAGTCTGCATTGATTTTGTAGCAATAGCTGGTGTAATATATAAATAATATGCTTTATAATTTATAATTTATAATTTATATTATAATAAACGTATGGGGTGAAAAGGCTAGGTGAAGACATGTTCTGGTGTGAAAAATAAACGCAATTAAAATACTACGCGGTAAAACTATTATTAAGCAATCGGTATTTCAAAACGAATAATTCATCCTATAATCGTGAAAACAACAGGAAGTCATTAAAATTCCCAGACAGACGCTCATTAAAAAAAATATCCATATTTGGGTATAAATGAAATTAATCACTGATAAGATATCAAACAACAACACGTTATGACTCACTCAAAAGCCTATCAAATCATACCAATTACCGTTTCTGGTGAACGCCTTCAGTCTTCGGATAAACAGAATTAATCAATAACAAGATATCGAACAACAACACGTTATGACGTAACCAACATTGCACATGCTCACTCAAAGGCCCATCAAATCATATCAAGTACATATACAATTTAATATTAATTTCTGCACGGGCAGAAACACACTACCGAATCCAGAGCAACAATACAATATCATGTCAAAGGCCAAGTGGCTAAGTGTTGCATAATGAACATTTATACCGCCAATAAGGTATACCACATATAACTTCACCAAAAGGCAACTTACAAGAATCTATGCACATTAAAATATGCACGGAAGACATAATGACAGTCATTTTAATTCTACTTCAATAAAGGCACGTACTCCACATACACACAATATTTCAACGCCCGTTCATAATATCATTGCTAAAAAAATGTCACGTAAGTTAAGGAAAATGACAACACATAGGGGTACATGTCATGGCTAGACATATCTTTGCAAATAAAGTAACAAATGCAAAGACCAACGACAATATCCAACAACAGAAGCATTTGAACGCCTGATTCACGTGGCAAACGCAACCAGTCTATGGCAACGCGACGACTATTAAGTGGGGATAAAACAATCGACCTCATATATATACACAACGCGCTAACAACAGCCGCGCTCACTCTCGCTCTATTCTTCACGCTCGTCGGATCCAGCAGCAGCATCACACGATGCACTGTGTCGGCGCAGTGCATCATCACAATCAACGAGGCACACCACGTCCACGCAGCTCGTCTCAAGAAAACGCGAATTTCGTTTTGATTTAATTTCTTTCTCTTTTGATGAAATCAATTAAATTGTTGCGTTTATTCTGACACCAGGTATGAATTCATATTAGTTTATTTCTCGCCATTATTTCGCCATTAAAACTTGTTTAAATTTATTGCACTGCCTTAGAGATCTTTAATTAAAATCATCTTACAATTCTTCCCAAATTAAAAGGCTAGGGACTCAGATGAAATATTCCCAATAAATCGATCCATTTAGTCACTATTATAGGCACCTGACCAATACTATAGGCGCCGCTTGATATCTCATTGTTCATAACGGACATTGGGCTATCAAAGTATATTTGCAGTTTTACGTTTTCGATTATAGGAGTCTGGAACAGGTGGAACTACGCCACAAGTGATTCCTTGTCTCTTAAGAAAACCGAACCTCAAATATATAGGCAAAATCGAGGCCCGAACTCAAAGCACTGCGTTGACCACAATAGACAAATAAATCACTATAAAGGTGTTCTAACACCAACATAAGCACAGAGTGCAAATAATAAAAGAAACATAATCATAGTGACTAATATTCTATTCCTTAATTCCGATCCATCCACTGCATTAAAGTTTTCTAAGCGTAATTAAAGTAAAAAAATAACCGTGGTTATATTGCACCATAAAGGTTAAGAGTAAACGCACTGTATTTAGAGAAAAGAACATAGTATCGTAAAAATCGTAGAGTAATAGTAACGCGCATCAACCCACACCAACCAGAGACGTTACCACCACCACAACAAGGATCCACATCAATACAAGGTAAGTGGATTTAATATTTTCTAATTATAACATCGGTATATAAACTAAAAGGTAATCTAATTACCATATCAAGTAGTAGTATAATTATTATCTGAATTGAAATTTATGGACTATTAAGCCGGGTACGCCCCTATTCTTTCACCGCTTAGCCCCGGTAACTCCTGCTCTTTTTAAATTTGTTAATTTTTATTCTACTACACTGGAATTGTAGTCTTCGAATCTATTCGGATTGATAACTCTAATCTCAGATATGACTAAAATAAATTTTATAAATTCACGAAATAAATTGTCATGAGTGAGAATATTATACACAGTAGACATCTTATAACAATAATTTGACCAAAACGTCTATATTGAGAGATCAAAATGAATTTAAAATAAATGTATTGATAAGAACAATTTTGACATGGAAAAAGTGGAATTACTTTCAGTTTAAATTCAACCGCATAAGATTTATGTACATGGTTATTAATTTATGAAACATTTTTTACAGAGCATGAAGGTACTTATTATTTATTTATTATTAATATGTAATAGGTTAGGTGTTTACTATTTTTTAGGTTCTGTCTGTATACCTGTAATATAAATTAAAAATAGATGTTATTTTTATGAAGTACATACAAATTTGAACACAGTGTACAAAAAAAAATTATAGCTATGTATTTTCAATTTGTTATGTATTCTTTCATGTTTTTTTTTCAATTGCCATCATATAATTTGGCTGTAGCTGTAGATTAGTAGCAAATATTTAGTTAAGTGTTCTGTTTCAAATCAAGATGTTGTATTAAAATTGATTATATTAATCTTCATAACATTAGAATATTTCTATATTGTGTGATTAGATACATGGTAGGTACCATTATGTTATTAGGAAATTGCTATTATAAAAATAAATATGTGAATTGATTATGTGACATTATATTATTATTGATATCAATCACAATAAAACCATAATCATATATAT